CTGCCACTCCTTGTTCCAAAATTAGACTTCGTCTCAGACACTGATCTCAAAGGTGGCAAAAATAGCTGCTGCTCCAGGGAGGACCCAAGCTGTCCTCCTCTGCAGCTTCCCCAGGGAGGTGGAGGCAGCTGGAGAGGCACAGCCCCCTCGTCCCCATTCAACTGTTTGTCTCACCCCCACCTTCCTCTATCACCCTCTACAGAACAACAGAAATACATTACATGGGAGGCGTGGGAACATAGGGAGGGATCATAATCCACCAGCTCACTCTCTATTGCCAAACTTTCCAAAATAAGTGAGAATTCTTTTAACCAATTGTTATTCCCCCCCCCCTTTTTTTTGGTAAGTTGGTTGATGTTTCTAGAAATCTCTTGGTATATTCGGGCATGTTCTCCTGGATAAGACCTAACACATTACTTTGCAGATGGTGGGCAGGTATCCCACAAAAGTTTTCAGGCGATCTGAAAACGCTAAGACTGCTGGGTAGGGAGCTCTGTGCTCTACCACCCCTCAAGGGAGTGAGGCATTGCAGCAGAGCTGGGGGCTCAGGAGCCAGACAAGCCCATCCTGGCTCCCGTGGTCCAGCATTCTGCAGGACAGGCAGCCGCTTTCCCAGCCGGCAACAGTGAGTCCTTGCACATTGAGGATTGTGAACAAAATGTTCTCTTCTGCTGTCAGCCGCACGGACACGAGCTCCTCATGTCTATTTAACATGGTGACCTGTAGCACACAGGCTGAAGCAGGTCCTCAATAAACATTTTTGAATGGACAAGTGACTGAGAATGGGTAACCTCACAGTGGCGAGTAGAGAGACGGATGGGAACTGCCTGGTGTGACACAGAAGTGGAGACTCGGCAGCAGTGGCTATTACAGAAGATGTGGGCACACAAAACAAATGGTGTTGTCATGAAGTAGGGAAGATATTTAAAAAGTAGAGATCAAAGTTCTAAGGAAGGGCTGGGTGTGACTCAGGGTAGATCACTATGCAAGGCAATGGTACAAGCCTCAGCACCAACGACACAAAACAAAGCACTAAATAAATATTGTAAGCGGCAGACGCTAAGGTTCCCCTGTGACTTCCTCCTCCTGGAGTTTATGTCCTTGTGCAGTAACCTCTCCCTCAGAGTGGGCAAGAATTGAGATTCGCGTTTAATCAATAGAACATTCTAGGGTGATGGCAGGTGACTTCCTTAATCATGGATTGTGACCACTGGGGAAACATGGCATTATCCTGGCAAGCCCATTCCAAACCTAGGCCCCACTAGCTCTGAGCCAGGTGTCCTGGGCCTTCAACCCAAGGGTCATTGAGAGGGTTAGAGAGGAGACAAGAAGTCCTTGAAACACCATCCATCACAGCGCAGAAAAGCAACACATGGTTATTTTATTATTGTTGATGTCATTATTGAATTAGTGTCCAGTAGCTGTTATGACAAAATGATCACTGGTTGGTGTCTTAACACGTGACATAGTGTTTTACAGCGTGGAGGCCAGACATCTGAAGTTGGTTGCACAGAGTTGAAGGTATCATCGGGGCCGGTTCCTTTCAGGGGTTCTAGTTCTCGAGACTCCTCCAACTCCCAGAGGCTGCCTGCCTCCTCTGGCCCACAGTCCACCTTCTGCCTTGAAGGCAGCAGCATGGCACCTCTAAGTCTCTCTCTGATGCTCTGCTCTCATCTTCCCATCACCCCACCCCTCACTCCCTGCAGTCCCTTCTTATCAGGTCACTCTGGACCTACTGGAGCATCCAGGACACGGCCCCTTCCAAGACCTGAACTTGATCACGTTTGCACAATCCTTTCTGCCACATTAGGTGACTTTTGCCAGTTCTACGATCACAGCCTGGGCACCTTTGGGGAGCTCTTATTCAGCCAACCACGGCTGTTGCTGGCACCCAAACCACAGCCTGGTCTTTACGTGCTTTGGGATTCAGGGTAGCAAAGAGTGCTCCGTCACTTCACTCAGGGCTGTGACTTCAGACCAGCTTGGGTCCCAGGTGTGGCATTCCATCTGCAGATGCAGCCCTGAGGTTTTACAGCAGGAGCAGTGAATGGCAAGAGGGCTTCCCAGTAATGAGGCTGAGGCCCCAGGTGAGCTTCCCTTCCTTCCAGTAATGGCCTCAGTTTCCTCCGAGAACCAAGCCAGCAGTACTGCAAGGCCATTCCTAGCAGAGCTCAGCCACAGCTTTGTGGATCTACTCCCAGTTCTAGAAAACTCTGAACAGCCCAGGGGACGGTAGGCCAGCAGTGTGACCTGTGTGTATTCCATTTTATCACAGTGTCTCTTTTCTTCCCTGATCAGAGATATTCAAGTTCATTGATCTTCAGCTTTTCACAACCCTCAGTTCAACCTGCTTGAGAGTCATATCCCATTTTGGACCTTTACCCATTTCATCTAAAACAGGATGTTGTTGCTTTAAAAAATCACATCCATTTTACAGAACTTATTAAGCTTACAGCAAATTAAGAGTGGATGACATTATTTTCTAGTTAAATTTGCAATGGGATGATCTGAATGAATGACTCATATTCTCGATTAATTTTTAGTGGAAATAATGAGAAGGTTGTAAATGGAAAACACATGTGCGTGCAGAACCTGCCTTTCAAGCACAAAACAATTTATGCTAATTATGGCTTCGCAAATGAGGTAATTTTAGAAAAACTTCTTTAGGAGCTTAAAAGCATCTAACAGAATAGCCACACAAGTCTAATGCAGTGACATTTCCCTCTAAGTTTTCAGTGACTTGAGTTTTATAGCTCTGTTTCTCTCTCTCCTCCTCTCCGTCTCTTTATTCCCATTAGCCCATCTTCCCATCCATCCACTGATCTACCTATAGTTCAGTATCCATAACTGCTAAGTATCTGGAGAACTAGGTACAAAGGGTCCATTATTTCAAAAAGAAAAGCTTATGTATAACAAGCATATCTCTCCTAAATTTTACAAGAAGACTTAAAGATGAATACTATTAACTTTCCCACTATACAAAGCAGAAGACTGGAGTCTGGAGAAATCAAGAACTTTGCTTCTTTCCTCCACAGACCAGAATGTTTCAGAGTTGGCATTGGAACTAGCTCTGCCTCCGTGGGCAGGGATCCTACACACAGCTATATGGCATTGATCTGTATCTCTGCATCATCTGTGTCTGCTCCTGTATCAGTCCCAGATTAGTCAGGGTTTTCCAAAAACATATCAACAGGAAGAGAGAGAGATAGAGAAAAAGAGATTGATTGGATGAATGACTGATTGATTGATTCTAAGGAATTCGCTCACCTAATCATGAAAGTGAAGTTCCAGCATCTGCAGTCTGAAGGCCTGAGAACCAGGAGAGTGGAGTAAGTTCTATGAATTCCAAGGCAGGGGCCTGACGTCCCAGCTCTGGACCACTAGGCAGAGCGCCAGCTCTCTCTCAGCCTGCCTTCCGTTCTATTCAGGTATCTGACCAATTAGATGAAGTTCATCCACATCATGGAGGGCAATTTGCTGTCTTTGATCTACCCATTTAAACATTATCTTGACCAGAAACACCCTCACAGCAATCCCAGAATAAAGTCTAACCACATACCTGGGCACTCCATGTCCCAGCCAGACTGGACACTCCATCCAGGTCACCACCTCTGACATCACACCTACTGCAGGAGTCTAGCTCCTGCTTCTCCTGAAGTCTCAAGTCACGCTGGCTCACTGTCTGTGCTCACGCCCTTCCAACAGTAAACTGTCCTGCTGCCTGATTGTGTTTGACCCATAAATAAAAAATGGGTTTTTAAAAAATATTTTCAAATGATTGGAAGAAAAAATCAAGAATAGTTTACATGAGAAATTTATACAAAATTTGAATTTCAGTGTCCATTAATAAAGTTTTTCTTGGAGCACAGCCATTCCTATTTTATTACAATTTTTCTATAGCTGCTTCATTCTACAATAGCCGGTAAGTAGCTGTAGCCACAACCATGTTAATCCACAAAGACTGAAATATCGACTATCTGGCTCTTTCCAGAGGGTTTTGATGACCCTTGCTGTAAAACCTGTGTGCTGTGTACACAGGTCATTTGGGAATGGTCTGGGGAAGGTGACATTACTGGCTTGCTTTGCCCTTCTTGAATCTAAATAAGCCATAGTTTTCAAAATATCCTACTCCTACCATGCTAAATATCCTGTTTTCAGCTTTATTTTCTTCTAGGCATGAAGTCTATGTAGAAGTTTACGATTACAAATATGTGATTTTCTTTATTTAGTTGTGTGCATTCATTGTGTGCTTTCTCCAAAGGAAGAAATTAATGAACTGCCGTTCTGGGTGCCATCCACAGCACTATACAATGGAAAGAGTGGGTATCCTGTGGGTGGACTCAAGAGTACCCATGTGTTCCTGGCATTTCCACACAGCAACAGACGCATGGCTGTGTATAGCGTGTTAGGTTCTCTTTGGCACAACAAATGTTGCTATTTTCAATGCAATTCGTTTCCAAAAGCTACCAACTGGACCATATTATACCCAGATTCAAATCCTTGGCTTCCCTTGAAAAAGCAAGGTCTCCACCTCTCCAGAACCTTTCGTCTTGTGTCAACAGCAGTGTGGTCCTGGGCTTTTTGACATTTCAAGTTTCCCTGGGCCCTCCTCTCTCATTTGTGTTCTCTCCAGCCTCTGTTGGCATTTGCAATTGTAACTTCTAATACAGCTATGAATACATTCCCACAGGTAGGTAATCCACGTTGTTGTGTCCATAGATGTTGATACACATCCCAGTTGTCTTTGATGTAGATGCACATGTGCAACAATTTAATCACAAAGTTGATAAGTGAATGATCAGGGATGTATGGTTAGGGTTTTACCAACTGGTCACTGGGGAATTCCAAGGATGGCACTTACTCCACATTGTACACTTTTGAATATAGATGTCAACCATCTGCTCAAAGAATGCTACCCATATTGTTTGGCACAAAAATCCCCAGATTGCGTTCTGCAGTGGCACACACACTGGATCATAAGGAAGAAATTCCACACGTACCATGGAATTTTTCACGCTCTGTAGCAGGCGCTCATGCTGTTCCGCTATGGCCAGAGCAGCAGAGTGGACTTTCTGATAGATGGCCTCTCCATCACGTGTTTGAAAGATAAACAGCCCTTCACCAGTCTCACACATCCTGTGAAGACAAAAACAGGAAGCTTTGAAATCCCGCTCCTGAAGTCTCTGGTACTAAGATCTCACGCCCATTTATTTTTTATGATACCAGGATTCCTGTTCATATTTACTAAATGAAGGTAAGTAGAATCGAAATGTTCCAAGTGTCCAATTAGTTATTATAAATATGGGCAGGAACCCAGCACCCAGAGCTAACACTTGCTTTTTGTCACAAAGCAGAGGAGGAGATGACAAAGGAGGTGCTTCTTGAGCCCCAGGGTCATCCCTCCATTTCCCCTCCCCACTCCCCAGGAGGAGCCCATGCCACTGTGTTCCCGCTACCAGCCTCTAGCAAATTCTTAGCAGACCCAAAGCTGCTCAGCTCAGAGGTGAAAGGAGGATCCCTCAGTGCTCTTCGATTCTGTCCTAACTCTCCTCCCACATGGTGGTTTTACTGATTCTTTCATTCCTAACAAACATCCTAGATCAAATTTCACTCTTGCTTCCATTCAATGTGATGGATCGAATGCAGCTAATTTATGTTTAATGAGTATGATTGTGCTGAATTAATATGTGGAACACAAAGGGAAATTCTTCAAGAAAAGCTGCCTGGCTTGATAATTGATGTCAAGAGGAAGGTCACCTCCATCCCAGACCACTAAAACCAGAAACAATTTCATTAATAGAGGGAGACTACCACATACAATAAGACCAAACAAGTGCTTTAAGATTAAATATACATTGAATATATACACTAAAACATATTTAATTATTATGAATATGTTAAAAGATGGGAAAAAAATTATATGCGGGAACATGTACAAGAGCTTGATTTTGATGCATAGATATAGCAACAGTAAACAAGAAGGTGGATTTTTTTTTTTGTTTCCAAGGACCTGATTCTTCTAATGCCCCTGCTCCCCCTTGAGAACCTCTTGCTGAAACACGGTTTAGTTTGTGACCCAATACATCTTTCTAATTATGGATTAAAATTTTGCTCACATCTGAAAAAGTGTTTAATGCAACATGGAAACTAAGCACATTTCCAACTCAAACCATGATTAATATTTTTATCTACTCCAGCATATGCAATTAATGCAATAAAAACATGGAAGATTTATCCCTCTGATTTCTCACAGTTGGCCTGGTACCATATGACCATATGGCAGTGTTCTGCATGTATGGCAGGGTTTCAGTCAATGCTCACAATCTGCCTCACTTGAGTTTCATGAAGATGGGCTATGTGAGGGGAAGAAAAAAGACAGGGCAAAAGAAGCTCTTTCAATGAGCTACTATAAAGAACTAGTTCATAAAGTTGATCCTGTGCCTTTAATTATTAAGTCATTCTAATCCAAGGAAGAACTAAACTCTCCAAAATAGCTGGGTGCAGTGGTGCATGCCTGTAACCCCAGTCGCTCTGGAGGCTGAAGCAGGAGGATCACAAGTTCAAGGTCAGCCTCTGCAACTTGGTGAGGCCCTGTCTCAAAAAAACAAATAAATAAATAAAAGGGCTGAGAATATGGCTCAGGGGTGGAGCACCTCTGGGGTCAGTCCCCAGTATCAAGAAAAAGAATTAAGACTAACATTCAAGGCATTTTTCAGTCAAGTCCCATTTCCTTCCTGAAATATCCTACAATTCTGCAACCCCTACTGCCACCTCTTCTGCATGCAGGCCACCATGCAAAGTTGACTGCACCACCTGGCACTTAATTCTGCAAGGTGTATGGATTTCATAGACCTTTTCTCCATAAAACACAAAAATCCTCATTCATTAAGAGGAGGAAGTCACCTTCATGCACTCTTTAAGAGGAGAAAGCAGTCTTGTCTAGGACAGAGGGCATTGCCTATTTACTCATTTAAACAAATACTTTTCTTCCAGAAAGAATGAAGCCACCTGTCACTCAGAAATATTTGCATGATAATCAATTTGCAAATCAATCTTTGCAAATCTAAACTCTGCAGCTGTGTTTTTAAAGTCTGAAAATCTAGGGGACTTTGCAGTTTTCAATATATTTTATTTTTAAGTGCAACCCACAATTAAAAAAAAAAAACACACACACAGTTTAGTTTGTGACCCAGTACATCTTTTGAATTACAGATCAATCATTCATCAATCTATATAACATGCTATTTTCTTATTTTTAATACTGATGGTATAATGCTTTATCTGTATTATAATCCATTAATCTTTAATGGATCATAATATTAAAGACATCTACTCTTTGAAAATTAAATTTTATCCAATGTCCACTTTTGATAAATACAACAAGCCTATCCCTTTTCTTCAGTGACATTTAAATTTCTCAAATACTGTTATTTAAAAAAACAAATAAAATCAAAACAATTATAATTTTTGGCATTCTTATTTGACTTGCATAGACCAGACTTCCATAGACCACCCTTACCCATACCTGAGGGTCCTGAAAACACACACACACACACACACACAGAGCTTATCACTTACAGGAATAACTGCGAGTCACAGCCCCCAACTCCACTAGGCAGAGAAAGTGAATGGATAAAGTCTCTTGGACCCTATGCAGGAGAGTGTCTGTTACGGGTCTTGTGTAAGATCAGAAGCCCAGCCAGCCCTAGCCATGGTCTACTTGAGGCAACAGGATGTCCACTGGAGCCACAGCTTCTGATTTATTTAAGAGACGCCAGAAATCTTGATCGTTTTGTGAAGTTCCCTGAATTTTAAATGTCAACAACCTGTTCCTTATTTTTTTAAGCTGCGTAGGGGCCAAAAGGGTCTCAGCAACCTGATGTGGCTCAAAGTCCCCCAGAGTACATTAAAAAGTCAAAATGCATTAAAGAGCTCTGAAGAGAAATGAGGCCTTTGGTTAAATTGCCGGGACCTCTGTCCTTCTGCTCAAGATGTGTGTCCTTCAGCAGGACACATGTGACCCAGGAAGCAGGAATAAATGAGTGCTGCCCTTCAGGGTTCTTCTCAACCTCCCCTGGCCTCTGCCCACAGCCTTCCCACCTCATCCACCTCACCGGGTTGATGTGCTCCGACTCTTCCCTAAGCAGCTTTACAGAGCATTAATGTCACCAGAGGCCATCATCAAAATAATGTAATGGGAAAATGCCTCGAGGCAGTAAGAAGAAAAGAGGGGGTAATAAAATAGAAAAGAAAGGAAGTATAAAGAAGAGCATGGCAGAGAGGCTAATGGTCTTATGTAACCTCACTCCACAACATCTCTGTGGAAACAACACGCAGCTTTCTTAGGGGTTCATCCAGGGTGGAAGAGCAAATCCGCACTTCGGATTTTGATGGTCCTGATTCCTTCTTTCTCTTTACTCCTTTGTTCTAACCTTGAATGCTTTCCCAAAGATGTCCCAAATAAACGAACATTTTCCCAGGGTCCCACACTCCCAGAAGCCAGTGAACTAGACACCCAGAGAGGCAAAAATAAGGAGTGTAAGTATGGCCTATCTGATCTCTTCTGGCAAGAACAGGAGTCAGATATAGGAACACTGTGGCCATAGAGACGGGGTTATAACTTTGGTGAATTTCTCTATCATTATTTCCCTAAATGATCGCCTGTCATTCCAAACATGGATCATTCAATCGGTCAAGAATCCAGAAGAGACCAATCGCGCAGAAAACACTGGGAAATTCATTAATTAATCCATACCAAACATTTTCTGAGGCACTGTATATAAGAAAGAGGGGTGGGATTACATTGGGGGCAGGACTTGCCCCCAACTCCAAGGTGCTCTATATTTTCAAAGAGCAATGCTACCTGAAAGACAATGACGATGGCTCTCACCTGGCTTTATCACAACTATTAAACCTGCTATGTGGAGAGTACCATTAAGTCTTCAAGGGAGCTTGTCAGTTCCCTGGGAACCTGAGCTCTATGTAGACAGTGAGTTTTGCTGAAAGTCACAGGCTTCCCTCTGCTCACTACACACCAGCACTCCAACTGTGACAATCAAAGTGTCTCCAGTCATTGACAAATGTCCCCTGGAAGACAAAACATCTTGGCTTGAAAAATCACTGAACTCGACCTAAAACAAAAGCACAAGAGAGAAACTGAGTAAGGCTTTAAGACTAGGAGGTCAGGAAGGCCTCCTGGGGAAGGCCTGCTGGGCTGCCTCACCCTGGGGCCGCTGAGACTCTCTGCAGTTGTGACCTGCCTCCAGTTCCCACCACTGGCCTCTGCCCAGCGGATCTCAGCTTCCGTCCAGGCAGCACACACCGGCTGCAGTCCCTGCTCCTGGGGTGGTTTCCCTGGCCCTGCTGTGAGACACTCTAGCATCTCACAGTGTCACGCAGGCCTGGGAGCGCGGGCCAGCTCTAGTGCATGTCCAGCATTCACATGGTCTGGAGATGGCTGTCCGGTGCTCAGGCCACCTGTGATCCTTACCATATCCGTGGGCTTTTGCCCCCTCAAACCTGGGTGCCGTAAATGGCATCATCGATTCAATATCATGAACTACTATAATCTACCATAAATAGAAGGGTATAAAAGGAGATACAAAAGTAAATACAGCAAAAAGCACATATAAAAATAAATAGAGCGAAAACAAAACGTTACTGAACTCCACCGAGGTCCTCTTGCTGTCGAAGGCCTCAGCTGGAGTCCGCTTTTCTGGTAACAGGTACCCTGGGAGTGCTAAAGAGTGGATAAGACTCTTCAGCGCCCAGGCCCAATGCTTCTCCATAATTTAATCAAAGGGATCAACAAATTGAAAGGAAATGGCTTTATCACTGTGAGGCCACATTTAGTGTTATGTCTCTGTGACCATAAAATCATCCCGTGTTTGGGAACACGGTCGGTGCCTAGCGCCCTGCTCTGCAGGGAAGTAGCAGCCTCAACCCCAGCTCCCTCACAGGCAGGATCAGGACCTGGGACATGCTTCTCTGTCTCTGGAGGTCTCAGTGACCTCCTACACGGAAAGCAGGGAATAAGATCACACAAAGCCCAAGGGGCTCGAGTCGGGGATCGTGTTTTATGTTTAGTAAACCATCTGGCATCACGTGAGCATTTAATTAGGGTTTGCTGTCATTAT